AAAAGAGAGTGAAAGTCGCTTCTGCACTCGCTGATATTCATAACACAAAATTTCTGCTCTCCGCAGTGTAGTCTACCTGAAGTCAGATAAGAGGCATTTTAACACTTCCTAGATACCGTGCTTCTTCCTTTTGTCTGTCATAACCGGTTTAACAGTTTAGGTAGACAATTTTTTGCACTTCTGTCTGCATTTTTTGCTTTCTCCGTTGCAATGGCCAACTGATAAGCGTCATTATAAAAGTACATAAGAATTTTTATTCTTGTGAAGAGTTTACTGAAACTCAGCATACTGTTATAACTTAACGACTCCCAATTTGCTACTGATAGTAGAAAATTTCTTTAGTTTTTAATAGCATGATGTAGGTCACAACAATTTCTTTTGCAAACGGAAACTTTTCTTAACTTTGTTCGCTCACAACGCTTTAGGTTACATTGTTACTTTAATCACTCGTCACTGTGAAGTTTTTTTTAATTTAATTATTCTTCGATGTAAGTGTGTTTTGTTTACTTAAAGTTTTGATCTCTTTGATTATTAGAAATTCTTCCTTTCAAGAAATAAAGAAGTGTACCAAAAATAGTTATTTCATCTGCTCAAATGTTTCGCACTTTCAATCAAAAAATTCTCCTTGTAAAAAAATATAAAACTTATTTGGTGAAATTTTAGCAAAATTTTGCCTTTCTAGAGAGCTTTCGTACCTTCAGCGAAGGTGAACTTGTTACAACACGGTTTAAAAATGTGTTTTGAAGGCTTAAATTTTTTAAAGATAATTTTAGAATTTACACAGAAAAATGACAGATGAGAACAAAGAAACGGCAACGACACAGACGTCTAAAGGTCCTATTTTTGGCACGACAGTTACTGTAGAGTTCGCAGAGGAAAAACTGAAGGAGTATTTTAAAACCAACAGTGTGTTTGGTCCAAATTTCAAAATAGTTCGTGTCGGAGTTGGGCAGGTAGTACATTTAGTTAAGTCCAAGCATTTCTAAATAAATCATCAACCTAAAAGCTGCAGTTTCTTTTAAAATGCAGTAAAACTGTTCTGCAGGCTGTGTTTTACGCCTGCAGTTTTTGTGATAACTTCGTTAGTCCCTGGCTATGCTATAAGCTCGTTGTTTGTTGTAAAAAACTAGGCTAATAAACAAATAATATTTAAATTTTTTAGCATCTTTAACTTTTTCACCTCTCGACTGCTAACTTTATTGCGAAAAACTATAGTTTAAAAAACAATTTTTAGCCCATGATTTTCCTGTAAACGGTAACCTTGATTATACGTAAACTCTTTTGTTGCTTTCACAGAAATTGCTCTCAGCAAAAGAACAATACTGCCATAAAACGGCAGCCTTAGCACCTTATAAGTACTCTCAGTGTTTAGCAAGAAAATTTTATTTTTAAGTAAAATTAGTATCACTTCTGACCTTATTTTGAATCATAATAATTCTAGGCTACTTAAATTAAGGTTTGTAAGACTTTTTTTATCTCTTTGTAGAATCTATCAATTTATTTCAAGCGTCTGAGCTACTCACTTTCAAATTATAAAAACCATTTTTGAATCAGTTTTTTGCTGTTACTCAAAGTTTTGTAAAAATTATCTTTTTATATAATCTAAAAGTTGAATGAAATTAGGTGTATCATATGTGTTGGTCTATCATAAAATTAAAAACTTCTTTTGGGAACTTTAACAAAAGAGGGAGCGGAAAACTTTCATTTGACGCTGTCGCTTACTGGGGCTTGTTTGAGTTGATCTTTCACAAGCAAACTGAGTAATCTACTAAATTTCTTTTTTCTCAGAATATCATCTACAGGTTTAAAAAAGTATTGGAAAGAAAAAATGTTTTACAAATTTGAATGTTGCAATTTTGTGAATGTTGCACAAGAAATGAGTCTTTGAGGTTTTTGTTAGAAACGTATTTAGTACAGAAACAAAAAAGACGTGTCAATGTGTTTAAGGATTTAAAAGCAAAATAATATCCACTTGCTGAGAGACAATGTAATAACTGTTACTCAAGTTGTCTATTTCGGAAAAACGTTTTAGTTTTCAAAAAGCAGTTTAAACCAGCGAGCTTAAATAGAGACTTCTTAACTTGTTCTGGTTATAACCTTTTAATTAAAACTCTTGAGAATGAGATTTTTATACAGTCATATTTAGGGATTCATGTCTGTAGTAGCTAGAATCTGGCCTGACTGGAAGCCAGAAAACAAGAATCTTCCCAACACTCTTATCGCAAAAATATCTAGTATGGCAACTGCAGACCAAGTAATCAACGATAAACGGTACATTGAAAAGGGAGGCATTTTTGGAGATCAGTCGTCTGTGTTAGATAAAATGCAGAAAACCCTTAGTCGAGTAAACTATATATATATATAGTTTCTCTTTTTACCGGTGCTAGAAGTGTGCTCGTTATTGTAATCATTTAGTTTATGACCAGTTTTACAAAATTATTTGCATAGAGTTACCACTTCTTCATCTGAAACGACAAAAAGTCAAGTTTCTCTCCTTCCAGGCACACAATTCAGAGGTGGACTTTTACAATTCAGCTAAGCAATATGGTTTTCAAATAAGAATTCCAGAGGTTTATTTTGCCGAGCCGTATTCTGAAAATTGCAAACAAGGTTACTTGCTAATGCAGGATTTAGGAGAAGACGCTTTCGTCATACCTCAGTACCAAAGAACAACAATTGAGGAAGCCAAACAAGTATGCTATTGCTGCAACTTAGCAGTTCTTACTCGCTGTTCTTCACAAAAAACAGTTTCTATATTGCAGCGAATTTGGTAAATATACAATGAAACTGATAGGACTATAAGTGATGTTGTTTTTAGGTAGTAAAACAAATAGCAGTCTTTCACAGTTATTCTTTACAACATCCCGAACTACTTAGTATAGGAAAATTGGCTTTTCACGAGCTTATTAAGGAACTGGGCGATTCAGAAGAGGTAGTTTCACGTTTCTGCATTTTTGAAGTTGCTTTGAATTCTTTCGACTTTTCTAGGAGTGACAGTACTTTTGTGCAACTAAAAATTTACCACTAGCAGGAAAGATCAAAATCAGAAAACAGCAACAAATAAAACCAATGATTAAAATGCATTGTGATCACTCGCTAAGACATGTTTGAGATCATCGTTTTGTAAATCAATTATATAACGTCAGTACCCTAAACTAAAGTGCTGTTTATACAGATGCTTACAAGTACTGTAGAAATGTTCAAGAAGTCAACGAATGCTAAGGTTAGAACGGCCTGCGAAGAGCTGTCTAAAGAACTCAGTAATGTCCTGGATGCACAGTTTCTCTCAACTCTAAATGAAGAATGCGGTATATCACCAAAAACTATTTTTTTTTACTTTAACCTGTACAGAAAGAAAGAGAATTTTAGGTTTACCTTTAATTCTAACTCATGGCGATCTTTGGTCTTCAAATATAATATGGAAGTATGAGGACAACAACAGAAAACTTGCTGGTATTGTTGACTGGCAGGTTTGTAAAAGTATAACGCTTTTATAATTATATCCAGCAATAAAAAACTTTAGCTTTAGAACTGCAAAGGGTCTAAAACATAAAGTTAAAATTAGTTCTAAATTGGTTTCTTTGCGACATATTCCCACTAAAAAGGTCCGGTCTTTTCCTTTTCTTGAAAAGCTCAAAAATCCTAGCAAATGAGAGGTTCACAAAAATTTATTTTAATTTTGAACTTTTCTTCTGATAAATCAGATGTTTCATCATAAAAATCTTTCATAGCTTGAGTTTTATTTGTTTTTATTCAGATAATTCACAAGGGGTGTGCAGCAGATGACCTGTTGCGCTATTTCGCATCAGCTCTCAGTCCTGCAGATCGACGACAACATTTTGACGAACTGCTTCAGTATTATTACGAAGAAGTAGAAAGAAGTTTTGGTTCACCGCTGCCATTTACCGTATCACAAGTAAGTTTCAAAATAAAAAATATTTTTTTTCGGTTGAATAAAAGAAGTGTTTCGCAAGAAACGGTTTCTTAAATGAGAGTACTATTCGTTTCACCACAGGCTAATGAAGGTGCTGTACAAAAGAGCGGAAACTTTATTTTAATTTGTTGGTTACCGACGCGTTGAAGTGGTTTTTATAAGTAAATCAAATAAATGATCTTTCTTAAATGACTGTATTAGCAGAACTTTGTGTATGTTTTCTGATAAAAGTACGCTTCAGCTGAAAAAGTCGATGATTCGAAGTTTGCCGTTCTCGATGGTACTTGTTTTGGTAGCGTTCGGCCCACTATCTACTGTCCAAATAGAGGAAAAGTACCCTAACAAAAAGGAGGAATATATGAAAAACTGTGAAGAAAACGTTCTTGGAATAATTGAGGATGTTTTGTACTACACCAAGCTTAACTCTCAAAGCTCTTAGAATTTACGTTTGAGCTTTTTTTCGAGAACGATGTGCATTTTTATACATTACTTAGCTCACTGTAGTCACTTATCATTGCCATAATTTACCACAATAATTAGTTATCTTTGTGCAAAATCTTTGTTGTCGGCTGTAAATTACGCAATCTTTGGCACAAAAATATACATTACTTGCTCATTTGGTATATTTCACAGTACTGCAATATTGGCGCGTAAAGGTTGTTGCTATCGTAACAAACAACCTGTTTGATTTGGTCAAAAAAAAAGTACTTAACTAAATCTTTTCATCTCTTGCAAAGTATTGAAAGAAAAATAAGTGATGAATGTTTAGGCTTTTAATTTCATACTAAGTCGTTTCGTTTCTTTTGTTTATATCTCAAGGTTTCTTTGAAACTCTGGCAAGTAAAGGATGGAGTCTACCAGTCTAAGTCGGTAAATAAATTGTCTAGCAAGATGTAATTTTGTCGTTAAATTAGTCCTTGAAAAATATTAAAGCTTTGTAGTCTTTGTGCTTTTGCGCTCACTTTGGAATAATTTTTTCTTGCATTTTGTGAATAAAAGTTGTTGAATTGAGTTTCCTCTAAAGAAGCGTTTTCTGCAGGTTCTCTATCATTTTTTCTCTACCAGTTTAGGACTTAATATAAATTCAACTAAGAAGTACAAAAAACCAAGGTCAGAACAAATCGCAACAAAAAGTTGAGTTCTATGATTTTTGAACACGCAAAATTTTGCACCGTAAAAAATTAAAATGAGATATTGTCAGGGTTGAATTCGTTTGGACACGCCAAAATAGACAATTGCAGTGTATTTTATTGAAGTTTTGCGCCTGAGTTGGTCTTCTGGTGACGAGACACAAACATAACTTGAATGTTATTGATGTTGAAGTAATTTGTTCATGTAAAATAGATTTTACAATTTATCATTACTAAACATTTTCCTACTGTTTTAGTAAAAAGTGTTTTGAAAAAAAAAGTTTTGATTTAAAATTGTTTTTGAAAGTTTATAAAAAGCAAAATTTTGCACAAAACCTAGAGTTGCTAAAAGAAATAGTAAAGCTAAAAAACTAAGGGAAAATTGATAAGCACAAGAAGATAGAGTTCAGTAAAGGCAGAAGTAAAAAACGGCTAATTATAGCTAGAGCTGACTGCTAGTTAACCGCATTTGACAACACTATTTATAGACTTTTATATAAGATTTACAGTTTCTGATCGCCATAGAAAGGCAGATTGGAGGTGCCGTTGTGTAATTCAACTGGATGGCTTCACTGCCTATCATTCTCCTTTATGAAGAAAGATCAGAACACCTCCACGTTTTTTTTTTGTCGGTGTTGTTTTCATGACTGCTGGATTAAAAGGTTAAGAAAGGCGTTGCTGACAGTGGCAAAACTTTGAAGCAGTCTTCAAAAGCACCTCATTTTCTTAGGAAAACAGCTTGAACGATTAACAAATTCTGAGCCAAGAAATGGTTGATGAAGCTGTGGAGGTTTTAAAATATCCGGCATTTCAATTACTTATTTTTCGTATCACCGCTACTGTAGAGCTGATATAGAAAAAGTTGAAAGAATTAAAACAAACAGTTTATTTAGGCCTAACTTAAAGAACGCTTGCATCAGGGTCGATCAGGTACTTATGAGCTATTGCAGAAAAATAAATTTAAAAAAATTCATTGCAAAAAGACCAAAAAAACTAGAGTTTTTTATAAGGCTTTAATATAAGTATCAAATGTTAAGTCTTATAATTCCAACAGTTTACATTACACTGTAACTCTCTAACTACACAAAGCTGACTAGCAGCCACCCTTGAACGTACACTTTACTGAAATCTATCTAGGACTTCCTCTCAGTAGTTGCGCGAATTTGGCCATAAAGCAGTAAATTTTTCAATTCTGTTTTTGCTAAAATATCAGTTGCAGCAATTGCAAGTCAATTAACGAGCAATAGATGATATATTGAAGGAAGAGTGAAGAACGAAATAGTTCTGTGGAGAACATACAGAAAGTTCTCATTGGTGTAAAAAAAAAGTTTTTTTTTGGTAAGTTTTTTTTTTGTAAGTTTTCAGCCATTTAAATCAAATTGCACGTTGTTCTTTCAAGAAAGAAATTTGAAATTAAGTAATTCTTGTCATATTACTAAATTTTGTTTTGAACGCATAATACAAAAGTTGGATTCCCTAATGCAGCCAGAAAGTATGTAACTAAAATGAAAGTACGAGAAGTATATCCTGCTCAAGCACACTCTGAAACTAATAATAAGTTTTTTTTTTTAATAAAAAATTTTTATTAAAATGTTTCTGCGCTTCAAGTTTATAAAAAAAAAAACGATAATTTAAAAAGCCAAAAAATTTTGTATACTATTTTTTTTTCATAAGCTCTTTACCAAAGATCTTTCGTTTTTTTCTCACGCAATTTATTCCCGAAGTGCTGTGAAATTTCACAAGAAACTTCAAAAATAGTTCTCAGGTGACTGAACAATTGGCAATACTTTGTGGCTTATCGTTGAAGCGACCTAAAACATCTAATTTGAAAAAATACCTATTCACAAAAAAATACAAGAGTTTATTACTTTATCACAGATATTGAGTGTAGTTCAAACCATTCTCTTTACCGCTTTAAGAAAACAACAAAACAGATTTAAACCTGATAAATTTTACAAAAATGTGTCTCGTTAACAGACATTGTTTAACATTATCGATTTGAAATCACTGTTTTTTAAACTGATCTACAACTTGACAGTGACAGACACAGTCAAGTTAATAAATGTAGCATTATTAAAGGAACCTTGAAACAGTATAGACTTGACAGATAAGGCTTTATAATTTTTGAGTTTGCTTATTTAATAAAATCTTTATCTCTAACCCTTATTAAAACATAGCAAATTTATACCTGAGAGCGTACAGTTCTTGCAACACAGTCTTTTCTACGTTCTCTTAGTGAACAAGATAGTATTTCAAAAACAGTTCTTAGAATCCCGAAATGAAAAAGCAAAAGACCACTAATGTCTTGATGCTTAACAGAATCTACAGTTAAGACTACGTGCTATTATTAAATAGTAAATTGTAAAATGACACAGGTAAATTTGCTTTTTTTGAACTAATATTGTCTTGTAAATTACATTTATTGTCATAAGAAAAGTACATTACAATATTTTCTTTCAACATTTGATTACAAATTCGGTAAATGAACTAAAGCAGATGGGTCTACTGAGACAACTGAAACTAGATTAAAGAAAGGAATTTTAAGATATAGATAAAAATAATACTTTAGCAAACTTAGTTTTCAGTGTGAAAGGCGATGTGCCTTTTGCAACGCAATTATAAATTTCGATAACTTCAACAGTTCTTAAATAAAAAAAATTTTATTTAGTTTAAAAACGTAAGCCAAAATAGCAAAACAAAAGATTCTTATTTGTGGAGTATATACATATCTTCGTTATTTAAATTAACTACTTTTAAAAATTTTCTGGCTACTTGATTATAGACTTACTTAATTAATTTTTATTCACACACACACTTCAACACATGCTTGTAGAATTTACACAATTTTCTGGTCTTTTTAGGAGAGCTCGAAGAAAAAAGCAAAAAGGTGCATTAATTCCCAAAGACTTAGTGAAAAAAAATGAGTGGTTTGCCGCAAAAATTTAGAGAATTTATTGAAATTTTACGAGTTTTTCGAAG